TCTTATTCTTACTAACTTTGCCATATCTAATACAAAATCATCAATGTCATTTTAGTCGCCTCTGTTTTTGCATTTTTTTTTTTTTTTAGCAAATGCAAGTCATATTAATACCCAAACCAATAAGTACACATTGCTGTTTATATATTATTCTTATGATCTGTCTTCATCGCTTCCTTTTTCGTCTAAGACACTTTTTTTCAGAAGGCGAAGAGGCAGTGAGTTGCTGGCGATGAATACGTGTCCGAATAACCCAATGGTAATTCATGTGATTATCGCCACCAACCTGCCAAGTATCGTGTTACTATCATCAACAGCCTGTCAAATGCGTCTTCACCTAAAAAAAAATGTATATATATATATATATATATATATATATATATATATATATATATATATATATATATATATATATATATATATAGGTAGAAAAACCCACAATGCACAAACTAAATTTGGTTTGTGCATTGTGGGTTTTTCTACCATAGTGTCAACACGGTAGAGTGTTTTTCCATTCATATATATAATTATATATATACCTACCTACCTACATATATATAAATAAATATATATATATATATATATATATACATACACACATGTATATATATATATATATATATATATATATATATATATATATATATATATACATACATACACACACACACACACACACACACACACACACACACACACACACACACACACACACACACACACACACACACACACACACACACACACACACACACACACACAGATTTATATATATTTTTACTTTTCCATGAACGTAAAACTATTGCCATATTTCACACAATACTCGCGTGTGTTCGAAAGCCATGAAGATAAATCTCAGCTGGGATCACCGTCGAATGGCTCGGTAATTCTAGGCTGAAGGACTTTAAAGCTGCTTTTGCCTGCAATAAACTGTTCGATATCACGTGCCTGAGAACCCCTTCAAGCACGAGCAACATTTCGAAATATTCAACCCAGATAGATAAGGTATAACACACGAAGGTCTTAAAGAAATCCAAGAATTATTTAAAAAAAACGCACATTTCAAAATATTCAACCCCGTTAGATAAGAATAACACACGAAGGTCTTAAAGAAATCCAAGAATTATAAAAAAGCACATTTCAAAATATTCAACCCAGATAGATAAGGTATAACACACGAAGGTCTTAAAGAAATCCAAGAATTATAAAAAAAAAAACGCACATTTCAAAATATTCAACCCAGATAGATAAGGTATAACACACGAAGGTCTTAAAGAAATCCAAGAATTATAAAAATAAAAAAAAAGAGCAACATTTCAAAATATTCAACCCAGCTAGATAAGGTATAACACACGAAGGTCTTAAAGAAATCCAAGAATTAAAAAAACAAAACAAAAACGCAGAAGAGAAAAGGGGAATTGGCCTAACGTGTATAAAACTGTAATCACCAAACTGTTACCGCACAAACAACCCTAATTTAGCGCCTGGCTGAGCAGTTCACAACCTTCGCTGTCTCTTTTTCATCCTCCCATTACCATACATATTGCCTCGGTGTCTTCAAGGCCTTCTGGGGTGACAGCTCGGATCACAGGGCTGTTATGTCGCACTCGCCTGGCACCCCCGCAGGCATTCGAGAGTGCCGGGAGAGGTCATATCGTCCGTCATGTCTCCTAAACAAGTGCCAGGCTCTCCGTCGGCCATCACTCTCGCCACATCACGGGTGCCAAGGAGGCTGATGTTTGATATCGTTTTAATGGTCTGTCGTTGGCTCTCGGTCACCTCTCCTTCGACGGCTCTTTGCTCATACCTGTAATAATTGCTCAAATTTGTTCATACCTGTAATAAAAGCTCAGAATTGTTCAATGTAGGCCTAATAAAAGCTCAAAATTGTTCATACCTGCAATAAATGCTCAAAATTGTCCATACATGTAGGCCTAATAAAGCTCAAAATTTCATACCTGTAATAAAAGCTCAGAATTGTCCATACATGTAGGCCTAATAAAAGCTCAAAATTGTTCATACCTGCAATAAAAACTCAAAATTGTTCATACCTGTAATAAAAGCTCAGAATTGTTCATACATGTAGGCCTAAAAGAATTGCCTAATAAAAAAAAAATCATACCTGCAATAAAAGCTAAGAATTGTTCATACCTGTAAAAAAAGCTCAAAATTTTTAAACATGAGACTCAAAAGGAAATTGCTTTCTCCTATATTGTAAAACAGAAAGAATCATAAATCGAAATGATATTGCCACCTCAAGTAAATCATTTTCTTATATATCAACGATGATATCTTTTATACTCATGGTCCTTTTTCTGCTCGTTTTTACTTCCATGTTTCGAATTCAAACGTAGCTCACGGTGATCATGAGGAAGCCAGTTAAACCGCTCGTCTGTCACGGGAGACAGGTCGATGCGTCGAAATTCATCTAATCCTTTTTGCTTCGCGTGTTATTGGCACCGCAACTCGGGCGGGGAATCGGCACGGACGGATACCCATGGCATTGCGGGGTATGACGTCCTCAGGAGCTGCCTGCGCACGTGTTTGTGTGTGTGTGTGGTTTGGTGTGTGTGTGTGTATGTGTGTGTGTGTGTGTGTGTGTGTGTGTGTGTGTGTGTGTGTGTGTGTGTGTGTTGTGGTTGTGGTTGTGGTGTGGTTGTGGTTGTGGTTGTGGTGTGTGTGTGTGTGTGTGTGTGTGTGTGTGTGTGTGTGTGTGTGTGTGTGTGTGTGTGTGTGTGTGTGTGTGTAATGTGTACATGTGTATGACGTTGTGTGTGTGGGAGTTTGCGTGTGCATAAATCTGAATATGTGCACACATACGCACACACTCATGGATCTACCTTTTTTTTTTGTTTATCTTATTTTCCTCCACTTGGCCACCAAATACTGCATGTTTGATATTTATGTATCTGTTTAGGAGTGTCCATTTTAGTAATGATTTTATCGATTTAAAACTGGTTATTTCTCGGATGAGACAGTAAATAAATTCATGGGTGAAACATATAGTGGCTTCATAGTTACTATGGTTTTGAATCTAAACAAAATATTTACCTGCTTTTGGGCTTATTTTTTATTAGAAAGAAAACTGTTTTCTTTGGAATCGATAGACAGGGGAGACTGCATTATTTGAAGCAATTGTTTACAAACAAATGGCACATGTGTTTCTGTAAACCGCAAAAGAAAGTGGCAATTTTCATTCAATATTTCGTTTGTACATAACAGTAGCGAAATATATAAAAATGTATGTGAAATAAGGACTCTTATCCTCTCTTAGTTATTGTTATTTATTTTGATGATACAAGTGTAATATCATATAAATAATCACAAATGAAATAATGACAATAACATAGACGATATAATCTATATCTTCGAGTCAAGGGAAAGCGGGCTACACGTAACTTTCCGTCCGAAAGCGATCTAACACTATTGAGTATTGGCATCGGTTACACACAATTCCCTGTCAAAGCGCAGTTGTGAGCGAGCCGACTTATTTCAGCCCAAGAACTGAAGAAAACAAATAAACAAATATGCTCCGGGTTGTATATGGTATATTTAGGTAAATCTAACGACGTAGGTGAATGAAAATTGATGTTGCTACAGTCACTATTCCACATTTATATATTTTGATAGGGTTATGGTGTTGAAAGCAATTTTGGCAGGTTGTTCTGAAAGCACATCAGTAATTTATAATGCAAAGATAATATTTAAGGCTTTAAATCGCAGGTATTTAAGTTTTCTCGCTTCATCCTTCTTATAAATTTAGAGGCATGTTTAATTGTTCGTATGTAAATTATGTGAGTGTATCCTAAACCAGAAGATTAGTTGAAGATATTCCTGGAAAGCAATATACATTTTCTTGATGCAGCTAATGCACTTCATTCAGGTAAAAAGAATTGTTTTGATTGTCACTTTTTCAGGAAAAAAACATAATTAGGCTTCAGCTAATAAAAATAAGTGATAGAGAAAGGGAAGAGATGTGTGCAGCTGCAGTGAATATAAAGTAAAGTACGTCTATTGTATTTTTAATGTAATATTTTCAGTATATGTATTAAGATATTATATTTGTATGTTGGTTACTCTTTTTGAAAACAAGTTCAATTAGCTTTGATAAAGACATAGATATAAATGAATGATTGAATAGATAAAATGATAATTAAACACACACACACACACACACACACACACACACACACACACACACACACACACACACACACACACACACACACACACACACACACACACACACACACATATACGTATATATACATATATATTTGTATATTATACGTATATGGTTGTTGTTATATATCCATATACTTTAAACAATAAACTGAAATGATTTCTTTTATTTTCAGTTGACTGATACAAAATGCATAATGACTCTAGAAATAAGTCCTCATTAAGTATATAATCTGCTGAATGACATTTACCAAAGCAAAGTGAATGAATCCTGTATTGAAAAAATAAAGATGTGGGAAACAATAGAAGGAACTGAAACAAATGCTGTTACACTAGGAAAGCAAGGCGAAGGATCAGAGAACTGGGAATCAGTTGAAAATACCAAAGTTATCAAAGAGGAAACAGATATTTTAAAACAGTTATGGGCATGTGCGGACATTGCAGAGGGTGAAAAAGTAGCTGACGTAAGTGGGGCCAGCAAGCAAGAAGTGCTTCCTGAACAAGATTGGCAGAGCACATCTCGCAATAATATGGAAATCACAATACAAACAGTTCAGAAAGAGATGCAGCTAAAGGCTTCCGCATCTAGTGGTGTTAATGTTGGATCAAAGAATATTGCTAAAAAACCTGAAATTCATCAGTGTTCTGAATGTGGGAAGAAGTTTGATAACAAATTCCAGTTAGAGTCACACATATTTAGTCATACTGGAGAGCCACCGTTTGAATGTGTAGACTGTGGGAAGATTTTTCAGCAACAATATGCATTAAAGAATCATCTACTCATACACAGAAAGACGTTTGCTTGTACGGTTTGTGGGAAA